CTACTTTTGTCCTACTTTTCTACACAAGGATGCCAGAAAGCCTGTGAGGGTCGTTTAGTAAAATTCCCTTGGGCGCCGCTCGATGAGGGTCATTTAGTTCCTTCCAGAGAAAATTTAGAATTTGGAGATTAGAAGTATGAGATTAGCCAAATTATCTACTTTATTTTCAAAACTACAATTTAATCGTACGTTTCGTTGACAATCGATTAGCAAAATTGGATATCTGTTTTCAAAGTGAATGCTCAAGAACCGGACATAATAACACCAAATAGATTCGGTCTCCTGTCCACGGAACATGACTCAGATAAAGAATCAGAATCTAATGACGAAATTGACCCGAGTGAGTCTAGCACTTCGACTGTTAGACAAAGTAGGTCAAGTAATTTAAACATGGATTCGAACAAACACGATAGAAAACAAAGGAGAAAAGAAAGTCAATCAACCCAAACTTCCATTGAATTTTCCAAGGGCAAGGCCAAAACCAACAATAGAAAGCATACAACAAATGCAAATTCAAACGATTTATTTCAAACAGGCTCAAAGAATAATAAGTCTGGCAAACTTGTTTTCATCGCCGGGGACTCAATTCTACAACATGTTCACGGCTGGGACTTGTCTAACGATAAACAACGTGTATCTGTAAAGTCCTTTTCAGGGAGTAAAGCTGAAGATATGCAAGATTACATAAAACCATTACTACGCAAAAAGCCCGACGAGATAATATTGCATGTAGGCACTAACAATATTAAAGATAACTCCAAGACGGTAGAAGTAGTTGCTGCGGGTATCTTAAACCTCGGAACCCAAATAAAGGATAGTCTACCATGCACTAACGTATGTATATCGGGCATTATTACCAGGAAAGTTAAAGCTAATATCCAGAACAAAATTAAAACTGTAAATGACATTCTTAAACGGGTCTCTGACCAAAACAAATGGACCTATATAGACAACACTAATTTAGATTATACTTGCCTAAATAGAGGTGGCCTACATTTAAATAGAAAGGGTAGTAGCACTCTTACTAGAAATTATAGTAATCACTTTAGTCGTAATTGAAATAAGGCATGGCCAGGTGCTGTAAGGTATGCTCAATTTAACCCATATTTCCCTGATTTCAAGGGTTTCAAAATGGGTATGCTTAACATAACCAGTTTACCTAAGCATATTGACGAAATTAGGATCATATTAGCCGATGAATGTCTCGATATTCTTGCATTAAATGAGACAAGATTGGATGATACTATTAATAACCATATAAGTAATTATGATCTTATTAGGGTCGATCGCTCTAGAACAGGGGGAGGCGTCTGTTTATATGTGAAAACTTCCCTTAAGTATTTAGAACGAAAATATCTGACTAGAGATAATCTCGAAGCTATATGTGTTGAGATTCGCAAACCTTCCACTGCACCATTTATTGTCGGTACTATTTACAGACCTCCAAGTGCTTCTGTTGACTCTTTTGCCACAATTGAGCAATTAGTAAAAACAATAGATGATGAAAATAAGGAATTTTACATACTTGGTGACTTAAATGCTAACATGCTTGACACCTCAAACAATGCCACAAAGAATTTAAATTCAATCATGGAATTATATCAATTATCGCAAACGATAAACACACCCACCCGTGTGACCACGATCTCATCCTCCCTAATAGACGTTTGTCTTACTCCCAATCCAACTAAGTTAATAACATCACAAGTAATACCGATTGCCATTAGTGATCATTACATGATCTTCGTTGTTCGTAAAATAAATATCCAGCGCAAACAGAACAGTCACAAGAAAGTTGAAATTCGTAATTTAAAATATTTTAATGCTGAGAGTTTTCAAGCTGACCTGCATGGTCAGGAATGGGAATTATTAGATAACAATCTCGGCGTTGATAAGATGTGGGACACATGGAAAACACTTTTCGTACAAGTTCTTGATAGGCATGCCCCAATCAGGGAAAAGAGAGTTAAAAGTAAACCAAATGTTCCTTGGCTCACTAGTACAATTAAAAAACAAATCCACGAACGCGATCGCCTTAAATCTCTTGCTATTAGACATAAATCCGAAAATTACTGGAACGCATACAAAACCTCTAGAAATCGCGTAACTGATGCATTGCGAGAAACAAAAGCAGCATATTATAAAGGAGAATTTAAGAAAGTCAAACATGATCCCAAACAAGCATGGAAAACTGTGAATAAAATCCTAAACCGTAAACAAGAAAGTAGAGAAATAAATTGTCTTGAAACACAGAGAGGACAAATTTCACATCCAACAGAGTTAGCGGAGTGTTTTAATAATTATTTCACCAATATTGGTCCAGATATTGCCAAACTATCGACAATGGTGACAGAAATTTCAAGGATTACATCACGACAACAACTAGTAGCTTTAATTTTCAAACAGTATCTGAATCGAACGTATACGTATACAGACTTCTGTTATCTCTAAATCCTCGTAAATCTACTGGAATTGACAAAATCCCTGCTAAAATTATTCGCATTGCTGCTCCTGTAATTACAAACTCATTGACAAAAATTTTCAATATGGCCATTATAAGTGCAACTGTTCCTTTTGAGTGGAAAATAGCAAGAGTCACTCCCATATTTAAAAACGGCCCACGAAACTTATTAAACAACTATCGCCCCATTTCTATCCTCCCTGCAGTAAGTAAACTTTTTGAAAAAGTATTATACGAACAACTCCATGAGTATCTTGTTACACAGGAGTTGTTGTCCCCTCGTCAATTTGGTTTCAGGAAGTTTCATTCTACAGCCTCTGCTCTTTAGTACAAATGAATGGTTTATTAATATGGACCGTGGTTTGTTTAATATAGCTGTTTTTCTGGACTTACAAAAGGCGTTCGACACCATAAATCATGACATCCTCTTAACGAAACTTGATCTTTATGGCCTACAGAAGCCATCATTAAACCTTTTAGGATCCTATTTAGCGAATAGAACCCAAATGTGCTCCGTTAATGGCGCTCTGTCGGGCACGAAGTTGGTTACATGTGGAATCCCTCAAGGTTCAATTCTTGGCCCACTCTTATTCTTGATCTACATTAATGATCTGCCTAACAGTTTGGAGTACTCGTCGACAAGAATGTTTGCCGACGATACGACTCTAACTGTATCTGGCAAGTCAATCCAAGATGTAGAGGTGGCCATAAATCATGACCTTACCAACGTTAAACAATGGCTTTCTGTAAATAGATTATCTCTTAATCTAGTCAAAACTGAGTATCTACTAATAGGATCTCGGTACAACATAAATAATTTACTTGCTGCTCCAAATGTATTTGTTGGTGATACACCAATTAAAAAGGTCAAAGAAACAAAAGCGCTTGGAGTTCATATTGACGAATTTCTATTGTGGGATAAGCATATTGATAAAACTGCTAAGAAGATTTCATCCGGAATTGGGGCGATCAGAAAGCTAAAATCTTGTGTGGATCATAATACATTAATTTGTGCTTATAATGCACTTATACTTCCACACCTAGATTATTGTTGCGAAGTTTGGGACACCATTGGTGCCACACTTTCTGATCGACTCGAGAAACTACAAAATAGGGCTGCTAGAGTTATTACTGGCCGTAAAAACGAACACGGTCAATCTGAACTTGCTCTAGACGAACTGAAATGGAAACCTTTAAGTGAACGCAGAACACATTTCGTAGCAAGTCTTATGTATAAAATAACTCGCGAACTGGCGCCAAAACGACTAACCAATATTTTTCAAAGGACGTCTTCCTCTTATTACTATAATATGCGAGGCTCTTCCACCAAACTCTTTTTGCCCAAACCTAAGACTGAATATCTTAAAAAAAGTCTTAGTTATAGAGGAGCGAAATTGTGGAACAGCCTTTCTGATGAAGCAAGAAACAAACATACTCTTGCTTCGTTTAATTCATGTATACGACACCTGGCCAATTAATTAATTAATTAATAAAATAATTACGTTAATTAAAAATATTGAACAGTACTAACATTAATTTAATTTGTAAATAATTATATACTAGTTGTATTTGTAAATGTATTGTAATTGTTGTTAACTGTAATGTAATGTATGACCATAATTTGTATTAATTGTATTTTTTAACTATTTAAATCTACGCCCCCCTTGGAAATCAGCTTTCGCTGTAGGGGTTAGCGTGATTAAATAAAGTTTTACCTACCAACCTACCTACCTACCTACCTACCTACCTACCTACCTACCTACCTACCTACCTACCTACCTACCTACCTACCTACCTACCTATCTACCTACCTACCTACCTACCTACCTACCTCTATTTGTCTCACGGCCCAAGTAATGAAAAATGCAATTAAAAATGCCATTCAATATATGTCACCGGGATATTTTCAATTAAAAGTATACTACAGCATTTATGAGTTATATGGCTCTTTATATATGGAATTTGCAATATTTTGCATTTTTTTTTCAATTAAGTAACGTAAGGTATGCAAGTTCCACAATTCCGTTGTTCCGCTAATTAGTCATATATTCTTGCATGGCCATGGGTCCAATTCGTATATTACGTGTGAATCATAATAAATATTTTATTATCATGTATGTGATACACTCGATTTTGCTGTTATAGCCATTTCTTTGCTGCTATAGTCATTGCTTTCAGTTTCTGATCATTTGTCATATGAACTTTGCACTATCCTTGGGATCTCTGATTTTCGAATCGTACCCGCTTTGACGTCGTATCTGGTAGGATTAGAACTAATCCTACCTGACACGACGTAAAAGCGGGTAGGATTAGAAAAAATGAATATAATGAGGTGTATTAGTTTTTAATTGCCCTGCGATAACAAAGTATCAAATACCCGCAATCATGATATTATGGTTAATTAAGGCCTGTTCATAATTTCAGGTCCAGTGACCAGTAAGTCTTTTATGTACTATTTAAAGCACGCGTAGGAGTGCTCCGTAACGGCAAAAGAAGATGTCGTGACCATCGAATCCAGTATAGTATAAACAGGGCCTTAAATACGACTACAAAAGAATACTAATTAGGATGAACCATTATATAATCATGCTAATTAGGATGAACAATTATATAATGCCACATGTGTTTTATCAGATATAAAGTTACTCCACAAGGTTTACGAATTATTAATGAATATTTTAAATATTTATTATATATCTTTTATATATTTATTATATATCGTCTTTTATATATTTATTATATATATATTATTTATATATTTATTATAATATGTTTCACCAATCAGAGAACTTGTTGTAAAACGCATTGCCACGGATGTTTTATTGTTTTTCAATTTTGTTTATATAATAAACAGAAAAATACGTGGGTGGCGCGGAAATACCAGATTTATTTCTCGTGTTGAACATGATATCTCACTCGTTCGCTGCACTCACTCGTGAGATATCGATCATGTTGAACACTCGAAATAAATCTGGTATTTCCGCTCACTCTGGGACTGCACGCAGACTACGCGCACTCATGTATTACATGTATTATCATGGGCGTACCGGAAGGAAAAAATTAGGGGGGCGCAAATTTTCAAAAAAAACACAAAATTGACCACAAAATTGACTGAATTTTCGACTAAATTGACAGAATTTGTCCCATTTATTTTTATTACAAACCAAATTTGCCCGACTGTTGATCGAATATTGCCCGTCTGCCCAAAAAACTGGGTGGGCTAGAGACCTAATAAAACACGACCTGCGAGTTTTTTAAATGGCTTCAAAAACGTTTGCATAATAAGTCGAATCTTTATATAAAAATCTTTATATAAAAATCTTTATATAAAAATCTTTATCATAAAAATCTTTATATACTGAAAATCTTTATATAGTTTGCATAACAATGGTCTTTTGTTAAAGTGTTCTTTAGCTGGTATAAAGACGTATGCATGTGACTAATTTCTTACTCAAGATTGGATAATTGCTTCATGAATTATTAGGCCTAATGAGTTTTTGAAGTATATGTAATGTATGAATAATATATATATATATATATATATATATATATATATATATATATATATATATATATATATATATATATATATATATATATATATATATATATATATATAATTCAATTTATTTTGGTTGTCCAGATATATAAAGTGCTCAATACTAAAAGTATAGCAGAGCTTATTAGATTGTCTATATCTTAAAATTAAATATCGCTACTCTGAGGTTCACGTCCTTTCTAGACGATCATCAGGCGATTTTGTTCACGATTTTGTTACTGATTACGTGATTGCATCATCATCAACCGTTCGCTGACGCGTTAACTTGTTTGTTCGCGCGCGTTCGAATTTCCCGGCGCTGAATTTTTCTCGATGGCGACATTTCGCGAAGAACTCGGATCTTTATTTAATGACCTCGGGTTGAAAATAACTGCGGACGTCAACCACCATATTGTCAACTTCTTAGACGTAACGCTAGACCTGAAAAGTGGGACATTTTCACCTTATAGAAAGCCGAACAGCAAGCCACTTTATGTCAACAGTTGCTCTAATCATCCACCTTCCATAATCAAGCATATCCCTACATCCATTAACAAACGTATCTCCTCACTATCTGCTGACCAATCAACTTTTAATTCTGCTGCACCTCCGTACCAGAATGCGCTCAAACATAGCAATTATGATGTCAGGTTGCAATATTCCGGACCGATAATAATTCTACAAGCTCACCGTCTAGAAAACGCCGTAGGAACATCATCTGGTTCAACCCCCCATTCAGCAAAACAGTCAGAACAAATGTTGCTCTCCTTTTTCAAACTTTCCTTCAACTCATCGACAAGCATTTTCCACCCAAAAACCCACTCCACAAGATCTTCAATAGGAACAATATCAAAGTCAGTTACTCGTGTATGGACAATGTAAAGAGCAACATAACACGCCACAACCACCGCCTCCTAACAAAAACCTCTACAGTCCCTGAACCCAAAGAATGTGACTGCAGAAAATCTAACGTGTGTCCACTGAATGAAAAGTGTTTGACCAGCAACGTAGTTTATAAGGCAGAAATAACAACACCCCATGATGGAACGACCAAAGAATACATTGGAATGACTTCCACGGAGTTCAAGGTTAGATACAGAAATCACAAAAAGTCGTTTAATAAGCCTGCGTACTCGTCTGACACAGAACTTTCCAAATACGTATGGGATTTGAAGGACAAGAAAAGGGAATACAGTATTAAGTGGTCCATTTTGAAACGAGCAGCAGCGTATGTACCTGGCGGTAGACGTTGTAATCTGTGCATAGAAGAGAAATTAGAAATCATGAAATCACATAAAACCAATCTGTTGAACAAAAGATCCGAGTTCTTCGCGAAATGTCGCCATCGAGAAAAATTCAGCGCCGGGAAATTCGAACGCGCGCGAACAAACAAGTTAACGCGTCAGCGAACGGTTGATGATGATGCAATCACGTAATCAGTAACAAAATCGTGAACAAAATCGCCTGATGATCGTCTAGAAAGGACGTGAAACTCAGAGTAGCGATATTTAATTTTAAGATATAGACAATCTATATATATATATATATATATATATATATATATATATATATATATATATATATATATATATATATATATATATATATATATATATATATATATTATTCATAATAATTTTTTTTGGCTCCACAGAATTTTTTAAAATAATTGATTATACTAAGAAAAATCATTTTTAAAATAAAATTTGAGTGTCACCGATGTCGTTTACGAGTTAAATTACTTTAAAGCCAAAATATCCGCCATCTTGAAACGTCATTGTTGCCATAGCAACGGCAATTGCGTACTTTCCTGCAAACTCTTTAGATGTTGTTTTATATGAGTAAGTACTTTTTGTTTATCAACAAGCAATAGTTGTCCAAAAATACGCATCTAAACTCGAAAATATTCGACGTTCGAGTTAAGGCACGACATTTGAGGCATGTAAAAGAGCAATGATTTGAGTTGTCCACAATCTAGCTGGGAATAGTTCTCATACATCTCGGCTTAAATTGCCTTTAATAAGCTGCAGCCTAAATGAGTCACGAACAACTCGTACAAACAGTCGCGCTTCATAGAGTAGCAAATTATTTTTGACTAGGTTTTGAACCTCCAAGCTTTATAGTACGAATATTAGTGTTGAATTCGCGTAAAAGGTCAATATCTTCGTAATAAGCTCATGCAGAACAACAAAAGCTAGTAAAAAATAATGTGTTACATAGCCTAATGAAATTAACTTGACTGTTTCCATTTTAGAAAAAACAATGCGCTAAATCTCTCTATTTTGTCTGGTGACCTATGTTCAAATTTTGCATGCTGTATTGTACCGC